TTTCTTATATCACAATGGTTCTAAGATTCTAGGATGAAACGAAGAATACCATTTTAAAGTGAGCATGCACCCCCATAGTGTTTTAACCATGGCATGAGAGAACTTTGCTTTCATGTGGGAACACATGTTTCCCAAATGGATTAGAAGGCTTCCCAAATAAGGGATGATGCATGGCCTTTGAGTAAAACATACCAACCAGGAAGCTGCATCCAAGAGAAACCCCATTGTCTCCAGACATTCAAAATATGAAAGTGACACCAGAAGACCGGAAATTCAAATCAAAAGGAGTCATCTCCTTCCCAAGAAAAGTTAACCATGATTCCCACTTTTACCATTGAGAAAGTTGGCTAATCTCTAAAACAGAGAAGTGAGGACGGCGACGTCTCAACACGGTGATTTTGAACCCCCCTCAACGAAACTTGCCATTTCTGCTAAAGAACGTGAAAAGCCAGGTCGGTTCTGAAAGTTTAATGTTTTGCATCTATGCGGGCTGCCCTACTGCAACAAGAAGGTGTCAGTGTACTCCCGAAAGGCAACCTTAGGGGGAAAGGATATCCTCCGTTCTTTTTCTTTTTTCTCACTACAGGGGACATGGATTTTTGCACACATTTTTGCATGCTACCGAGAGAGCCCACTTTGTGTGCCAGAGAGTCTGGGCAAGTCGCGCCTGTCAGCACCGTCCGACACCCACCCTTCCCTTCTCTCCTAGTGGCAAAGCTGGGGAGAGTAAGGGGTGGCTGTGGAGTTGAGGAGGGGTGGGAGGAAAAAAGAGAGAGAGAAAACGCAACTAACACTTTGCCATCTCCTCCTTTCAGTCATATTTCCGTCCTCCTCCAACGAAACTGGGGGAGGGCGAGGGAAGAGAGAGAGAGAGAGAGAGAGGCTCGCAATTTGGAAAAACACATACAGGGAGGGCCCTGCCAAGAAAGCGGAGAAGCAAAACATGAAGAAGAAGAAAAAAAGAAGGTTTTGAGCATTTACACAGAAAAAGGAGGTTGGGGGTAGAGAGTAAGGAAGGCGGAGATGAGGAAGAGGAGGGGGAAAGCACTGGGGCTGTTACTTCGTAGAGTTCCTCGGAAGCCATGCTGAGGCACCCGCCTGGCCGCCTGTTTCCCAAGGCAGAATTGGGTGCTGGTTTGGAGCTACTTTTGTCTCAGTTGGCTGTCCGGGGTGGCCTCTCCTTTTCCTCCCGTTCCTACTCCTCCTCTTCCTCCTGCTGCTTCTCCTTCTCTGCACGTGCACGCATGTGTGTGCTACTCCACAGTGCTCCTCTCCCTCAAATGTGCCTGAGTGGTGGTGCTTTGGTGGTGGTCGTATTTCTCAGTCACCGTCCTCCTCCTCTGCTGGTGGTGCTTGTGCACAGACCAAGCTGCGCAACGGGGCTCACTCACTCACTCACTCACACTCACTCTCACACACTTTGCTCGCGAGGCGCGGGAGAGGGTGGGGGGAGGGAGCAGCGCTGGGATTCGGCAGGCCAGCAAACAGTTCTGCAGAACTGATAGTACATTAGGTAGCAGTCCTGTGGAACCGGTGCAAACCGCCTGAATCCCACCACTGCTTACATCATATGGATGGCAGGGGAAACATCAGTAACATTAGCAATGACTTAGACACACAACAGAGAAGAAATGTTCTATTTAGAAAAGCCTGCATTTGCTGAGATGGAGAGTGCAATTGCACTTATGTCCGACTTGTGGCACTCTATAGACAATTAATTGGCTACTGTGTGAACAGAATGATAGATTAGATAGGTCTTCAGTCTGATCCATCATAGTTCTTCATATATATACTAACTATACACATTCATCTCTTGTTTTCTTCCTTCTGTCCTTCATTTTCTCACTCACTGTCACAAAACAGATAGTAAATTCCTTAGGCCAGCAGTCCGGTTTTGTTTGTTGTTGTCTGAGGGAAGGTCCACAAAACTGCATGCTCTGAAAGAGAAAAGTCTCAGGTCCATGTATTTGCGAAGGCTTTCACGGCCGGGATCTAATGGTTGTTGTGGGTTTTTCGGGCTCTTTGGCCGTGTTCTGAAGGTTGTTCTTCCTAACATTTCGCCAGTCTCTGTGGCCCACACGGCCAAAGAGCCTGAAAAACCCACAGCAATCACTCTCAGGTCCGTCTCAGTAGACCTGGGAAAAAAAATCCCATCTGAATTCCACTTTGAAACCCCTGCCAATCAGCATATACAATGTCAGTGTAGGCAGGTCCGTCTCAGTAGACCTAAAAAAAAAAAAAAATCCCATCTGAATATCATTTTGAAACCCCTGCCAATCAGCATATACAATGTCAGTGTAGGCAACGCTAAACTAAATGGGATGGTCTAAGGCAGGGCTTTTGTTACGCTGCAGAGTGCCATGTTGAGTGCTGGCACTTCATGCTCTGCTTGTAGAGTTTATAAAATGCTGCTTAATTACTGTTGGAAAGTAGTCCCAGGTGGACTCTCCCTTTGATCAAACAGTGGTTTTCTTGTGATGACAATAATGACATGAAGGATTACATTCACTGAGGATTGTTACCTGAAAGACCTGATTCTCTTCCATTCAGCTGCAGATCATCAGCAAAACAGAAGTCAAGGTAAATGTTTTCCAAAAGGTCTAAATAATCTCTCCAAATAATACTACTTCATCGTAATGTCAAAGTCTGCTATTTGGTGAATGCCACCAGTCACTTGTCAATATTTTACAGAGCCACTCAGACTTTTCATTAAACCCTTTTATTTGTCACCCAGAGGCTGATCTCGCTCACAGACTCTATTTTAAACCAATGCACCATTAGAGGCCAATAATGCCTATTCAAATTATTTATCTTACTGCTCCCTGATCAGGGGCCTGATTCTAGAAGGTATTGGGCAGCTTCTTCCACTCCTGCCCAACCTTGTCATCCAAGCATTTCTACCCATCCAATGACTGACCTTTCCACATCTCAATGATTGCTGACCAAAAGTGTTATCTGGTATTTGAAGGGCCTCAGATGTGTTACCCGTATCCTACTCTCACAGAGCATCTAGTGTCATTTGTTTGCTGTTGGTTTGTCTGCTTGCTTGCACTTCTTTTCTATCTCTTTCTTGTAGATGTGTCCATTACAGGTTCTCAAGAATGATGATAGTAGAGAATGTAAGGCTTTGTGGGTGGGGAAGGTCTTGGAGTTGATATTGTACTGCTCCCCATAACATCTGGCTGCTATTGGTTAGATGAGGCATCCTTCAGTCCCAAGAGACTATGGTAACATGCTCTGTATGGAGGTCTTGGAACAGCGTCTAGTGTGGCTGAGAAGGCCAATTCGAGAGCGACAATCCCTTCCACACTGAAGACAAATACAATCTGTCATACTGCTCCCCATAACACCTGGCTGCTAGTGGTTAGATTAGGCATCCTTCAGTCTCGAAGGACTATGTTAACGTGCTCTGTATGGAAGACTTGGAACAGTGTCTAGAGTGGCTCAGAAGGCCAATTCAAGAGTGACAATCCCTTCCACACTGAAGACAAATACAATCTGTCCCCTGTCCAGCTCCCTGATTTTGCTGGTTTCGGGACTGCCTCTTTGCCTCGGCCTGCTGGACAAGTGTCTCTTCAAATTGGGAGAGGCTATGATGCACTGCCTGCCTCCAGGCTGAACGTTCAGATGTCAAGGTTTACCATCTGTTGAGGTCCATTCCTAAGGCCTTCAGATCCTGCTTGTATTGCAGCTGTGGTTTCCCCTAGTGGTATGTTCAGAAAATATAAAAGTATGCTGTACTTCACACCATCCACATGGATTCTTTACTAGAAATTCATGTGATTAGTGGTATATTCAGAAAATATAAAAGAATGTTTTACTTCACACCATCCACATGGATTCTTTACTAGAAATTCATGTGATTCCTATGGCTTATAGAGCTATTATAATATACAGCAGAATACAGCAATAGAGTTATAAGTGGTCCCCCTTTACAAGGGTGAGCACTAGAAAACATACCCTTCTGATCTACACTTTGAGTTCTATAATTTAGATCTCTGTTCACCACACTATTCTTTGCAATGTGTAGAACATATCGTAGCTGGCTTGAAAACAGGATTAGAAAAATTCATCCAGGATAGGTCTATCAGTGGATGCTAATGCATGATAACTATATAGAATATATGTGCATAAACATCAGACAAACCACAAGGAAAGACCATTGCCTCCATTTGAACTTATCGAAAGATCTGGCTAACCATTGTTAGGAATGAAATAATAGACTAGACAGATGAGATTAACCTTCAGTGTGAACCTTCACTGCTTGATTTCACTGAACAATTGAAGGAATCCTTATTCAGTTGATATATAAAAATGTTACTGAGGTTGTGAGTTTCAAGCTATTAATCATTTTGGATTGAAGGCAGACATCTCAGGATTTCCTTTTGAATGTGCTCACTCAAATTTTCTTCCATCCCATTTCCACATTCATCTGCAATTTAAAACACAAACAAAATAAAACAATTGAAGAAACTTTAATTCAGCGGCCAATTACTATATATTCCGACCTTAGTCCAGACAGTCAGTTAACATTCTCAAACATGTATTTCTTTATTATCTCTGCTCTAACCTGGCAGCAGCTCCAGGAGACTGGAATGCAAGTTTTCTGGATTTTTTCCTTAAAAATCTAAAAAGGAAAAAAAAGAAAAAAGAAAAAAGAAAGGGATAAAAGCACACACTCATAAACAAAACACCCTATATAATATTTAGAACTGGAACACTGGAAGAGGCCAATGGACCCCAAATTCAAGCCACATTTGGTCCCTTTATTGGGAGAAAGGCAGTCTATAAATAAAATAAACAATAATAATAAAATAATAATCCTCCATCTTATTTTTATCATTGTTATCTAGCTCCTAAACTGTCAGAAGATCAAGACTACAGGGGAGGGAGATGTGAATCTCTCATCATTCATCCTTTATATTTTCCTAAACCAGAGGTAGCTTTCTAATTTATCAGAACAGCTGGACAAAATGAGGTTAAAGTCGTTCCATGATTCATAAATCATTGGGGAAGCTTATTATAAAATTCACTGGGGCAGAAATTCATCTCCGATGTAAAACAATATGCAAGCATAACCGCAGTGGAAATGTAGAAGGGAGTTTGTTTTGCAGAGATCAAGAGTGTTAAGAGAATGCAGCCATCTTCCTGCACAGATGGGCTCTAGGTAGACATGCAATGCCAGCAGCAAAAAGTGCTTTGTAGGAACACAGCAATTCTCTGTTTGCATTAGATGCCAACTTACAGTTTGTTCTGTTACTTCTGTTAAACTTCTCAAGGTTTCCCACACCTGAATTGTTGGAGTTAAAGGGTCATTTGCACTGAAGCATTATTTGAACACATTTTCATTCTCTTCTCACAGAAGTCTTCACCCTCTAACACGGGATAGCAAATACAGTGTTGCCTCGCAAGACGGGCACTCTGTTTAACGATGAATCCGCATTACGACGAGGTTTTCGTGATTGCAAAAGCGATCGCAAAATTACATTTTGAATGGGGGAATTTTGCTGCGCTATGATCAGTTCCCTGTTTCAGGAACCGATTTTTGCTTCTCGGCAATCAAAACAGCTGATCATCGGGTTTTCAAAATGGCCACCGGGTGCTCAAAATGGCTCACCACTGTGTTTAGGAGCCATTTTTCGCTGCACAGGCACCCGGAAATGTCCACCCCTATGGAGGATCTTTGCTGGACGGTGAGTTCTTAGCCAATTGGAATGCATTAACCAGGTTTTAATGCGTTTCAATGGCTTTTTTATTTTTGCTTTTTCTCACAGAAGTCTTTGCCCTCTAACACGGGATAGCAAATGCTTGTGTTTCCTCTTCCTTGTATGTTAGAATGAGGTGAGCAAAGGTTCTCATGCCAACACACAAACTACACAAAATCTGGCAAGCCACTCTCCTCCTCTCTGCCCCTCCTCACACGACACAAAGGGGCTGCCACGTCACACTCACACTCACTTTATTTCACGCTGCCACCAACCATTCCCTCATAAGACTCTTCAGACAAAAGTATGATTTTTAAAATAAAAACTTATGTTTATTGATAACATCAAAAGGAATGGTAAATCACTTTATCAACTAAAATAAAAGGCAATCAGTAATAATAAAGTACCCCCCCACACACTCTCTCAGACCCTCACTCAATATCTATATATAGCACAGTACTACACAACATGTACAAGCCCTAACTCCCTAAGTCCCTATCCTGACCCTATCAAGTCCCTATCTCAAACCCTATCTGACTCACACCTCATTCACTCCCCCTTAAATACCCTAGCTCCACCCTCTTATGTCCCACCTCCCGTCACGCTATTGGTAGATGACAAACAACCATATCAATGACGGGCAGATGACGTCACCATTACCGTAACAGTCGTAATGCGAGGCACCACTGTACTTGTATTTCCTCTTCCTTGCATGTTAGAATGAGGTGAGCGAGGGTTCTCATGCCGACACACAAACTGCACAGAATCTGGCAAGCCACTCTCCTCCTCTCTGCTGATTTATAACATCAAAGCCCCCTCCAAGAGCAGTTCCTAGAAGCAGCAAAGATCAGAATGGATAATGTTTTTGGGGGAAGTACAATGTTGCATGATTCCGATTTAACATTTGGTATTACTGGAGAGCATGCTCTGTACGTGCTACTAACATTAGGGCTTCCTACTATATCTCAGAGTCCTGCTGCTACCTTTCCAAACTTCTCTCTGCAATAAAAAGGGAACGGAGATCCTGCATCCTTCCTACAGTTATGAGGAAATAAAGCTCTTGGAAGAAAACAAACAAGTGTCAGACTATCTCCTCTTCTAGCTTCTTAGCTTTGGCTTTGAAAGAGATATCGGTTAGCTGGCTATGCTTTCTTCTTTCTTCAGCCTGTTGTGTGACTCATCTACCACCTCTCACTCTACTCCAAACTGCCTGGACAGAGAAGAGGCATAAGTAGATGGAAAAGGAAAGCACAACCATCCACTTTCTCTCTCCCAGAGCAAGGAGCTGCTTTGGCAAAGGAAAGGTTGTAAATAGAGATGGGGATGAATTTTAAAAAATGGCAATTCATTTTGATCCATTATTCATCAAGGTTAACGAATCAATGAATATGAATATACAAATATTCTTCAACGAATCAATGATTCAATTTGTCGATTCATCTGCACTTTAAATGGCTATAACACTGGCCCCGATGACCCAGAAAAACTAAATTTGCAGAGAAGCTTCCTCAGAAGAATTTCTACAACTCCCGAAAGGTTGGTGAACATTGGATCACAGACCCCTGAGTTATATAGTCACAAAGAGAACAACCCCAGGACAGCTCCCCCAGGGACTTAGAGACTCCAGAATCACAACAGAGCTTCCTATGTCCTTCCCCAACATGCCTGCCAACTTTGGTGAAGATTGGATATCGGAACTCTGAGTTATTCACCCACAAATTGGGTCCTCCCCCAGAGAGTTTACCACACGGCACAGAAGCCCATGGTAATGAGGGAGTTATATTTAGCCCCAGCAGAATGAGAGGTCCCTTTGGCAGAGGCATGCATGAGGCATCAAGCTTGTCTTCAGCTCAGCACAACATTACATTTGCCAGTGAAGTAGAGTTTGCCCTCAGGAGGACTGGAGGCAAGGAGGTATTTGGCAGCAGAGCAGGCTTTTTGGCTCTGTTGGTCACTGAGGAAGTTGGAGGCAGGAAAACAGGCTCTTTTGGCCCCATCAGAACTGAGAGAAAAGGCAGCAGGAAAGCAGGCTTTTTTGTTGCATCGGGCACTGAGGTAGTTGGCAGCAGCAAAGTAACCCAGCAGGCAAGCAGGGAGGCAGAAAAGGGAACAAACAGCCCACTGGGACTACATAACCAGGCAGGCAGGAAGGAAAGCAGAAGGTGGAACAAACCTAGCCTGCCAGGCCTACGTAACCCAGCAGGGAGGCAGAAAGCGGAACAAACTTAGGCCACGGTGACTACATAACCCAGCAGGGAGGTAGAAGGTGGAACAAACAGCCTGCTATGACTACGCAACCCAGCAGGCAGGCAGGGGGGCAGAAGGTGGAACAAACGTAGCCCTCCAGGACTACATAACCCAGCAGGCAGGCAGGTTGCCTGCTGGGCCTTGCCCTTCGACCACTGGCTGAGGGTCATGGAGGACTCAACGGGTGCCACTTCTTGGAGCGTGGCCTGCCTCATGATCCCGGCCCCAGAAACCCCTTTGGCTGCCCTTTTGAAAGGAGGCGCCTCCTCCTGCCTCCCTTCTGCCTCCCCTGGAGCTTCCCTTTTCCCTCTCCCAGATGGCGCGGACGAAGTGCCTTGGGTGGTGCCTCTCCAGATGTTGGTGGAGGGCAGTGGAGGACAGATGCCTGGGGTCTGACCCCCTCCGGACCACCCCAAGGCAGGTATTGCAGCGTGCCAGCCGTGGTTCATCTCTGAGCACAGTGAAATGATCCCACATGGCCCCTCTGCCATGTTTGCTCAAAAGAGGACCCACTGCCTGCCCCTGAGTGCTGGCCTGGGAAGAACTCTGTGTCCCAGGGGTGCTGCTGGTCTGTGAGGAGAAAACAGATGACTCGGGATGGGGGAAGGGCTGTGAAGCCTGTTTTGCTGTTACTGGTTCCAAATCGGACTGGGGATCTTCAGAAACCAGTAACTCCTCAGATTCCTCTAGGAAGAGGAGCAGCAGTTGTTTTGGCACCTCTGGAAGCTTTGGTTCCATGCCTGCTTGCAAGGCCACCAGAGGAGGGATAGTGGCACTGGTTATCATAGACATGGTTGTGCACGTGGTGGTCATGATGACGGTGCTGCTACCTATCCTATGTAGCTTCACAGCCTTCTTCCCCTTGGATTGCCCTTGAAGAAATCCCTTCATTTTCTACGGCGTGGCTAACAAACCAACTAAACAAATAAAGGAAAGGAGATTGAGGAAGGAAACTAATAGAGGGTCAGAGAGTGCATATAAATTTTATTTTTATTTGTAGAATGATGGTGTAATTCTTTTACTAAAATGTGACCTGCCTGCCTAAACAAAGCCCCCCCTCAGTATAATGTAATTGGGAAAATCCCCCCCCGACCCTGTGGCAGA